TCATGGTATATAATGACTGTACAAAAATTATCACATGCATGTTTTATACAAAGTTTGCTCTCTAGCAAAAATAACAAAAATCAGCCATTTAAGGTACTTGAACTACACCTCTAAAGTTTTCCACAGCACATGCATGAAATATATTTTTCCTAGGAAGTACATGACATAAGAAGATTAACAAACTTGGAATCATATTTTTCTGAAGCCTAGATATTTTTCTACATATTTTTCAAGTTATCAGCAATATTCAAGATTAAATAAAATCCTATAGAAAAGTATATCAAAAATGACATGCACTATTTTTCCCAAGTAGATCTGGTGATAAGGAACCTAGAAAATTTTGTTTCAACAAATTTGGAACAAGTTTGATCATCCAAACATTTTTCAAACCATTTTTGATTTCAAATAACAAATAATAAAGGAAATCAATTCACTTTAAACAATACTGGGCCGGCCCGCTGGAAACAGCTGGCCCACGGCCATCACCGGCCTGCGCGGCCCAAGCGCGAGGGAAGGGGAGTCGGCTGGCTCGGGGGCTCGCCCACGGCCACTTGGCTGCTTCGGCTTTACTGGCCGAGCTATGCTGGCCAGGCTATACCATGTTGCATGCTGGCTTCGGCGACGGCCAATGTCGGGCGGCCAACTTCGCCATGGCAACGCAAGCAGTGAGCGCTTAATAGGTGTGCGAGGCCATGGCGAAAAGCAAGGTGCAGCTACGCACGCGGTGGGAAGGAGGAAGAGGGCGCTCCACGGCGGCCGGCACGGCATGGCGACGCCATATGGCCGGACGCCGTGGCGAGGCTGGGAAAGCTTACCAGGGGGCTCATAAGGTATAAGCGCGAAGCGTGAGCCAAAGGAAGGCGAGGTGGCTGTGGGGCGTGAGCAATCGGAAAATGATGCGGCGGTGGAGAGCTTGGCGCCGGCGTGAGCTCGAGCGGGCGGGAGGGAGTGAAGGGCGGCGGGAGGAGTGAAGGCAGAGCGCGGCGCGGTGGCAGCAGGGCGCTCCTCTTCAAGCCCGCCCGGTTGTGGCTGCGTGGTCGAGCTTAGCCGGGCGCAAGTGGCGGACACGCGCGGGCGGGCGTCGCCGACGAGGCCGGGACGTGGCGCGGCTGACGGCACGGCGCTGGAGAAGAAGAAAGCTGGTGTGTGGAGGCAAGCCGGGTCGGGCTTTGGTGCTGGGGGCGAAGCGAGGCGAGAGGGGGCGCTGGAGGCTCATTGGCCGCAGCATGCGGGGTGGGCGGAAAGGAGGGAGGCGCCTGCAAAAATGTAAACACTCTTTTAATTTCCAATTTCAATAAATTTTAAATACAGTTTTCAAATATTATTTTGAGCAAGAAAATGACCTCTTTTGAAAATGTACCAAAAATGAAAGTTGCTTAGAATTTAATTCCCTACAACTTTGCTTTTATGACCACTGACCAAATTCTTTCTAGATTTTGAATTGGAAGATCAAAGTCCACGTTTAGCTCAAAACCCTAATTTTTGGAATTTATTCTTGAAGCCAAATTTTAATTAATTTGAATACAAACATTGCTCCAAAAATTGAACTAAACATTGCTAGATGATTTACAATAGCAGCCAAACATGTTCTACTAACCTAGCAAGCAAGAATCGAGCAAAACAACTCTAATAAGTGTATGCATCATTTACGTTTCACAAACATGTTTCGTATGTTTCGAAGTAATGTTTCAGTTATTATATGCAAGATTATGCATGTATGATTAGGATGCTTGATGATGCATGATATGCGTGATTTGCAGTGCCTAAATGTAGGCATAACACCGGGGTGTTACAACGAGGTGGCGTGGCTGGCAATAAGCTCGACGCAGAGCAGCTGATGCGTGCGTGTGCTGCTCGATGGGCAACGCCGAGCCGAGAATCGAGCGGCATAAGCGGCACGGCTTGAGGCACCACAGCGCCGGCCTCCTACGCCTAGTTTGGTCGCAAGGCATCCGAGGATGCGAGGGCGGCCAGCGTGGCCACGGCCCACTCACGGATGTCCTCGCCACCGCTGGTGGTGGAGTCGAGCAGCACCGCCACCGCGGAGGATGCCGACAACGTCGACTCGGCAAGCGCGACAGCAATCTTGGCGGCGACGTCGGAGTCAGGGGTGTCGGGGAGGAGATTGGGTAGAGAGAGAGGATGGACTTGGGAGTGAGAAAGAAAAAGAAAGCGGGGGTTTTTTGAGAATGTGGCACGAGCCCTAGTGTTCAGCTGCCATCGTGGCGTGCCACGTCGGATGTTGGTGCTTGCGTGGCTGGTTTTGGACCTCTTGTGCACGGTGGCAATAGATGAGGGACATATATAGTCACTTTTTTAGTTTGAGGACCCAGATGGTAATGCCCTAAAAGTTTAAGGACCTAGGGTGCATTTTACTCATGAGAATTTATTTGGTGCCAAAATAAATTCTAGAAACAAATCATACATTCAACCATCATTCAAGCATTTCAACTATTCAAACAAGCATCCAAGTATTTCAACCCTAGTGCACATGATGTGTTGTGATGCTTTTGGAAAAAGGTTTTAGTTATGGTTTTGTAGAAAATAACTAGTCAGGGTTTTAATTTGTTGTAAATTTTAAAAACTTCAAATTTTTAGTGGATTTTATCATGATGCAAAACACAGGGTGATAGAGTGTGCGCGCGGGAAGGAGGGAAGGAGGCACGCGGGATGGAGGCATGGTGAGGATCAAAGCTGATCTTGTGCATTAATTAAGGGCAAGATGGTGTTTCTACATGTGCATTCCTTTTAGTCCCTCCATTCAAACAGGGTAGGGACTAAACTTTAGTCGAGAAACTAAACTTTAGTCATAGGACTAAAGAGAACCAAACAGGGCCTAAGATCATTGACCCAAACTGACACCTATCAAAATTGCCATGATGATAGCGGACATTAGGGGGCATCGTACGTCATCAAAGCCCAACGTCTTGAACAGCACCGGCGCATATAGAACATGATGAGCTTGATGCCCGTGAGGTGCTGTATGAGCTTGATCGTCATCATAGCAGGATGTTGCACTTGCACCACGCACCGTCTAGGGGTGGGCGACGAGCTTGGACTCCTCGCTGACAACGGCCAGGCCACCAGCTAGGAGGTCGTTCTACTCCTCCACGTCGTTGGTGACGCGTGCGTATACTTGAGTAATTGGTGGTGGAACAGGGAAAAGGCACGACAAGACGAGTTGAGGAAGGAAGCAAGGGGCAATAAGAGGCCGTCTATCTGGAGATTGCGCTGGCCGCTTGCTAAATGGCAAATTCTCCTGGGGAGGAAGGTGAGCACGTGCTCTCATCCGAATCCAATGCGCAGCGGAGGCCGGCTAGCTTTTGTTCAGGATTTCAGTAGAGAATTCTTCCAGTTGAAGACGATGAGCGATACGTCCGGCTCTTCATTCTATTTAATTCTTCTACTGTGTTTCCAGGAACAACAACGCGATTGGATTAGCAAATGCTTGATTCAAGCAAAAGCAATGCGATTACACTCAGCGAATCGGTGACCTGCCGCACGAATTGGGCCAGCTGCGTGCTGGACCTCATCCCTGTTCTGCTTCATCGCCCTCGCTGCCTCCAGGATCGGAGTTGCACCACCACGGCCTCCGTGACGGCCGGGCGTCGTGAGTTGATGATGTCTCATCCGATCCTCCTACTCGGCTCCTGGGCGTACTGCCGACATCCTTGCTGCATCATGACGATCAGATGGATCTTCAGTTCTCTGCAACTTAATTTCATCAAATTACTAATGTGATATTCCCTCCATATTTAAATTTAAATGTATGGCCCTGTTGACTTTTGGTACGACGTTTGACCACTGTCTTATTTAAAAAACTAGCAAGGTGTCCGCCCTGTGCATTTGTGCGGCTAGATGTGCAATTTTGTGTTTCTTTGTTTCAAAGTGCAAAATGTTACTCTTAGCCTAACATAGCCCTTGAATTTGTTTGGTACTGTTACGTAATGTTAGGAGCACACTGAATAATCTGAAAAACAAAATCAAATATAAATCAGATTGAAATTACATCAGCTTTTTTTTAAGAGGGACTAAATCTGCTTTCACCAATTTTGTGCTTTCATCAATGATACTTTTAGTTGAAAGTCGGAAATTATATTGGGATTACACATTTAGGAGTATATATTTTTAATTAAGAATACATCAACAACTCTACGTTGGCAAAAACAAATAGAATTTGCTGTTCGTATGTGGTGGGGTGTTTTTTTCTTAAAAAAATAATAGTAGGCATGTCGTTCAATGTCAAAACTGAAGTGACATGTAGGGTTGTTCTTACAATTTTTCTTTAAAAAAAAGAAGAAAAATAATGTGAGAACAACACATGAAGAGATGCGTACCTAGATTTTGTGATCTGTCAGCATATATAGTCCCATGCCGTGCCATCTAGTGGATGGAAAATATGCATCTCATTTACCATAAATAACCTCTTGGATGATCAGGTTGCTTCTACCAGAAAAATCTTTCTGGTTGATTAGGCTGCTTTGGCAATCCCCTCCTTATCGATAAAGAATCTTGATTAAAAAAATCGGATCAAAGAATCAGTGGGTGGGAGTACCATTCATAATTCGCGTTAACTGGTAAATTTTGATATTTGAAGGAACCTGTCAAGGCATCGATTTGGGGCTTGTAGTGGAATAGCCTATTTTGCGGTTATATCTGCTTGCATCATCACCTTCTTGTTAGGCAGCACGCACCAGTATAGCCTTAGTGCTTCATTGTATCTCTCTTACTTTCCAAACCATTATTGATCCATGTGGCCGTGGCATCAATTCATCTTTTCATCGTCTCTCCTCCTATAAAGAAACAATATGACTGATGAGTCAAAAAAAAAAAAGGAACTTGCATCGATCTGCGCATGAAAAGTGATATAAAAGATCTTAAGATAAACATGAGCAAATTATTACGTAGTATGAACGTTCATTCGGGAGATATTGAACTTGGCAGTGCTACGGTGCTCATAGCCCGTTTCCTTGTTGATGCGGCCTGAACGAACGTCGCCAATGTCGAGTGAACAGATCGATCTGAAGTTGCATGCCGACATCATGATGGCTTTTCCAATTCTCTTTCATACTCGAACTCTCTCCCTGCTACAGTTGAGAGGGGCGAAAAGGGGGCGTTTCGTGCTCCCGCCGGCGAGGTCGCCGCTCCCCTCCGCCTTCGGCGACCTTTGGGTCCTCGAATGTGTGGGGGAATGGTGGATCTTCGACCGGCGGTGTAGATTAGGTACCCGCTATAGGGGTAGGTCTCCCGGCGGCGGTCGTGAGGTGGTGACGGCGTCGCCATGGTGGAATAAGGTACTCCTGGCCCTCTCCCACCTCGTCGTCACTTGCTCCGGTGCCGGCGGCGGGCCTGTGAGGTCGGGGCTCTCCGGATCTGGAGACCGAGTTGGTGCTCCAGATCCCGTTGGCTCCTGTTCAGGAGTCTTGCCGGCGGTGGCTCGTCGTCTCGGTAGAGCGTCGGGGTCACTGGCCTTTTGCTTCGTGGATGCAGTGGCTGCTGTGGGTTTGCTGGAAGATAGGTGGCTGGATCGGGCTCGTGCTTCCTGCGGCGGCAGTCGTCGTCGTCGTCGAGCACTGGTCCATGATCCAGGGAGCTCGGGGTGGAGCTTCCTCGGATCTGGACGTGGGCAGCGACGCCTGGAGCTGGCGATCCCCGGCGATGGGGTTTTCTCAAGTCTTCGGTTGGGAAAGGGTCCAGGGACCTGTTTGTCATTTCTGTTTTTCTTGAGGCCCTTTCTGCAAAGTTGGGTGGGACAGCTGTCCTCTGTATCCATACAACAGTCCGTCTGCCTTTCACACGTGATGCCGCAATGGGATCGTGGCATGCCCGTCGCCTACGAAATTAGAGGATTTCAGTGATCTCAAGAAGGACGTGGTCTTCAGCCGAGTGTAGTTATATATTTGTTTGTATACGGATGATGTGAGTAGTGTGCTTATGTTGAGTGGGTGTGCGTGTGTACGAACAGATGGTACAACTGTATCCATATGAGAGGCATTAAAAAAAATTATCTTTCATACCCTGGCTGCATGTGTGAATACGCACCACATGCATGATCTTCAGCTGCATCCAGGATCGGATCGCGGCGCCTTGCTGCAGCTCTCGATCGCCTCCATGCTCGATGTCGATGATGCTTGCTGCCTTTCGTTTGAACATCGACGAAGCCGATTTTGACAAGGAAAAATCGTCACGGTACCTGGTTTACAGGCCAACCCTGCCGTCGTTCTATCGGTACCAGAGCCTTCTAGCTTCTCAGCCATCGTGGAGATTCTCCACCTCGTTTAGGGTTTCCAAGATGCGAAACATGAGTAGAGCGCACGCTTTGATTTTCTAAAGGCAGCGGCCAAGAGTTCCATACATGCAAGGGGTGTTTTAGTTATTTATTTTATGATGACAGTAGTGGGTAATTTTTATTTTGTCTTTTTTTCTCTCCAATTAACGTGGGAATTTCTAGGCCTCGAGAGCGAACGTGGAGGCTCCGTTTGTTGTCCAAATACTAAGATAATAGATTAATACAGATATACGAAAATATAAGTTATACTTAAAATGTATTCAATGATAAAACAAGCCATAACAAAATAAATGATGATTACATTATTTTTTAATTAGATGAATAGTTAAATGTTGAGTTAAAATTAAAGTCAACGGCGTCATACATTTAAATACGGAGGAGTATTTATGTATGTTTTCAGCCAGCGTATGTATTAACTACTCTTGTGTGGTGCCTAGGGCCCAGGCCATGTTTATCAATTCCAGCACCCTTTTGGCCTTTTCGCGTCGGTTGACATATATATTGTCACTGACTCAGTCAATGTTGGTCAAGCCCCCCTGATAGGTGACCTCTCAGCTCCTCCCTCTCGCTCTGAGAGTAACAACAATTCAATACGTACTGATCATTCATGTGTTTGGTCGAGAACATTGACCATTATTCAAGCTACAATGACCTGTATAACCAGTGTAGTTTAATTAATCATCATTCATGTGTATGGTCGACAGCTTTTGACAATTGAAGCTCCGATGGCATATATAACCACCGTAGTGTAATTAATGACCGTTCATGTGTATGGTCGAGAACTTTGAATTCTCGTCAGTTGCACCCTTTCTACATGTTTGTAAATAATGGTCACGTCTTTGTACATTGGCTGTCTGTCAGTCACTGGATGGGTTACTATATATTCGTCAGCAGCTGACATATTGCTGCGATAGATATATATTTTGAGAAGCTTCTTCGCCTAACTTCCTTTGAAAAAAAAAACGTTAGTTACGTTGCCAGTTGAATAATCAAGACCAAGAGGGTGGATGAGGCAGGTTCGGGAGATCGATGGTGTCGGACGACCTGGAAGATGCACTGCATCGATGGAGAATTATATTCGGGCTCTCGTTGACTACGTACGTGGGATGACGATGGTGACAAGCAAGGTTATTAGGCTCCGCTCCAAAGTAATCCTGGCCTCATCCCTTGGTTTTTTTTAAAACAGATTTGACTACTTTTGGCTTATTATCTCTTCTCAAAGTTCTGACCAAGTTTTTACAATAAAGTACCAACATTTATGATACCTTAGATTATTTATTAAATATATTTTTATAGTATATCCATTCGGTGTCATAAATCTTTGTAATTTTTTCTATAATTTTGATCAAACTTAAAATGATTTGACTCTACAAGAAAGTTAGAATAACTTACAATTTGGAACGGAGGGAGTATTATATTTGAAAAAGAACAATAATCTTTTTTATGTTTGGGGGTGTTTGCTTGAGCTAAAAGCAATGGCTGCGTCTGCAGCTTTTTAAGCTAATTGTATTGCCCCGCTGCTGTCGCTCTCTGGGGCAGGTTGTGCATAAGTTGGTCCGGCGGCGACACCCGCCAGGCCCCCTTCCTCTTTGCCGTAACAAATCTGGATTTTCCCCCTAATTTGCCAGTACCAATGTCCTTCCTATCTCCCTTTCTCCTAGATTGGAAATGACAAAAGAAAGATACAGATGGTATATGCGTAGTAAATAGATACCGGGATAGTTTAGGTTAATTTTATCATATAAAGGCATGGATGAGTAATTTATAAATAGGTATATTGGTATTTTAGGGTAATATATTTATAGTAGCAATGGTGGGTTAACTTTTATTTTTTCTGCGATTAACGTGGTAATTTCTAGGCTTTGAGCTAGAGCGAACGTGAAGGCTCCTTTTGTTGGTCAAATACTAAGATAATACTAATAGATTTCTAGATGCCATGGTTTCTGATGAAACTATTTAGTCCCAAACATGCGCTTCTCAAGCTATTTGCTTGTGCTTCTACACCGCCGTGCTGCGTGCAGCCTTGTGACGCGCGTCAGTTTTAGATAGGTTACACAGCAGCCATCTAAGATTTTCTGTGACGTATGACGTATCCTAGATTTGCCAAAGTTAATTACGTACGGACATACATCGTCATACAGTTTTTTTAAAAAAGTACATCGTCATAGAGTTGACGGTCGTATATACATGTGCAGTACTAGGCAGTAGTAGCAGTATGAAGGAAGGCTATTTATTTATTGTGGGCTCAATGTAAGATAGACCAACCAAACCGTCTCGCACACGTTCTTCGTTTTCCAACATGTGCATGTATATATGAGAAGCGTTGATCATTTCGTCGACCCAGCTCAGCGGCAGCATTCAGGGACGGACCTAAGCTTTCTCACCTGTTCAAACCAACCGATCTGATCTGGACGGCAGGCCACTGATTTCGAGCCACTGATTTCGATGGAAACCGGTTTGATGGAAACCGGTTTGAAACAGCAAACCGAGTCTCCACCCCACGCTATGCATCGCGAGCCACTGATTTCGATGGAAACCGGTTTGATTATGAAGCTGAACAGTGCACTAGCACCTCAGAATTGAATCAGACTCTTAACTGTCCGGATCCTGGTCGAGAGGTCCACGTGATGGAATAAATAAGCACACACGTACGATGATGGTCTTTGAGGTTTACGGCTCTGAGAAATTTGATGAAGCTCACCCGTTGGCCCCGTGTACTGTTGGCACGGCGGAGACATATTCGATAGCTTATACGGAGTACTATACAGATAGAATGTATGGTTATCTCGGTACAGTATTATATATAGAATATATTCGATAGCTTATATTATACAGATAGAATATATGGTTACCTCGGCAAGATCCTAAGGCAGGTTCTCGTACGCCACCTATTGTGACCAAATCACTCACTTATCACTTGTTATAAATAATACTAGTAGTTGACTTTGAGTACCCATACGCTACGGGTTTAAAAATCCATACTTTTTATAAGCAATGCATTAGGTATGCATCATGGTTTCCATTCAAGTACAAGTGATGTAGTTTGTGAAACACATAATAATTCATGCTACAAAGCAATGTTTTATAACAAAGTAGAGATACAGGCCGGTTAACTTTCCCTAACGAGTGTTTTGGAGTCCTGGAAGCATACGGCCTGTTCGTTGGTTGGTTTTTGGACTGATAAGCCCGGCTGGTGCTGGTTTGATGTGAGAGGAAAACAATGTTCGCTGGCTGATAAGCCCTGGTTGAAACCAGCAAGCGAACATGCTGATAGTGCAGATACTGAAATTAGTAATTCTTTGTCCCAAGCTCTTATCTTCGGTCGGTGGATTATATATCTATATTAGGCTGGAGTGCCGTTTTGCACCTTTTCTATGTCATCATAATCATCGGTTGTGTTATTTTCCGCTTCATTTGCTAGTCAGTCATGATCCGCGGGAGCAGCTTGTTCCCTTTCCTCACACATCACTCATGCTCTTCATCAGCCTTTTTGATCTTTTAGTCCTTGGTTCAGCGATCTATTTATATTTTCAAAAATGTTCGGAACTTAGCCTCCTCATAGTCGTTGTCATCTCGCAGCCACCTCCGTCATTGCCCCAATTGGTCGATAAACAGAAAGCATCAGTTTATGCAGCGCTGATCCCTACAAGCATCAATTTAACTTGCAGGTACATTAAACTGAAACATGGGCTACTACACGTCTACACAGCATCACAAATCTTCAGGCCCCCTTTGGAACACATGATTCTCAAAACACGGGAACAGGAAAAACACAGGATTAGAATTGTATGAAACTTGCAATCCTACATAAATCTATAATGCAGGAAAATTTCTAATGTAGCCTTTGGACAAAACACAGGAAAAATAAAGGAACCAGAGGAGAGAGATAGACACAAAGAAAAGTTTCCATGAGGTCCAGCCTTATGTTAGTTTTCCTCCAAAATTCCTATGTTTTTCATGCATCCCATGATAATCCTAGGAATTTCGTTCAATCCTAATCCTTTTGTTCCAAAAGAGATGTATATGAAATTTTACTATAGAGTTAAAATCCTCTAAAATTCCTATGTTTTTCCTTTGTTCCAAAGGAGGCCTCAGGATCCCCACCTGATACCTTTCGTATTGGCCCAAAATGGCCCGTGAGATACATTGATGATTACAGTTACAGATGCCTTCTCGTTTGATTCAGAACTCAGGAAACTACACAACATCACAAATATTCAGATGCCTTCTTGTTTGATTCAGAACTCAGAACTCAGAACAAGAGAAAAGATACATGAAACATGAGCTACTACGTACTATCACAAATAATGAGACGCCTGCTCCATAAGTTGACATGACAAAATGATTTATCTCTAACGAATGGAGCATGCTAAGGTTCAGGATAATGCGATTGAAGAAGAGTGGGCCTGGGCTGTTGCTGGTTATGCAATAGAGGTAAGCAAGAATGCAGAATCGCCTTTAATATGCATCAGTTCACAGATATGATATGAGAGAAAAATACTATTCGTTGGCTGAAAAGACGCACGCTTATAAGCCAAAAGCCCAAACGAACAGGGCGATGATGGATATGATAACTCAATGAAACAGAGGCTGATCTGTTGCCAGACCTACAAAAGTGGCCAGAAACACTGCAAAACCGATGACATGATGCATCAGTAGAAGATTTTGTCCTAGAATTTTTTTTGATATTTTACAGAACTGATATGAGTCTGGGCTGGGCTGTTTGTCATCGTTGAAAATTATTTTTTGCAGTAACCACAGACAAGATCAGACAAGAACGAATAACGAGGGACTGACGGTTGTCTATGGCGACACTTGATGATGACATACCCTCGACGA